CTTTTTCTTCTGTTTTTGTTATGACCTTTTCCTTTCTTCTCTGATGGTATACTTTATATCATCCCAAAATTCATCTGGTCTTTGATCATTTTGTTTTCAATGCCTCAAACCTATTCCTAAGATGATCTTAAAATTCAGATGGAATTGATTCAAGATCATATCTTGGTTTCTATGGTCTTATTTTAATTTTCTTTGGCCTCAATTTGAACTTGCATATGAGTAATTGTTAGTCTGACCCACAGTCTGCTCCTGGCCTAGTTTTGACTACCAATATTGAGCTTCTTCAACAATTTCTTTCACAGTTGTAGTCAATCTAATTCCTATGCAGTGCATAAGGTGAGATGAGTGTGTAAAGTCATCACTTGTGTCTTTTAAAAAAGGTATTTGCAATGAATAAATCACTATAAATACAAAATTATATCATTCTATTTCCAGCCTCATTTCTACCACCAATCCCTTATTTTCAAATGACTATTCCTTCTTCACTGTTTCCCATTTTTGCATTCCAATCACCAATTATCATTAACACATTTTGATTGTATGTTTGGTTAATTTTAGATTGCAAGATTTGGTAAAAATTCTAAATTCATTACTGCTTTACTGGTCCATAAGGAAAGTCAAAAGGTTATAATCCAGGATAATAGCAGAATACAGTCAGGACAGCTTCTGAAATATGCTCACAGGTACCTCAGCCTTGAGCCTCATAGCTTTAGACCAGTGTTACAAAGTTCTCAGTCCTGCCAATTATAACTCTCTTCATCCTCCAAGTCCTCTAATAAATGTGTGCAAAGACTTAGCTCTGGTTTCAAGGGGAGGGTAGTAGTCCTAAGGCCATCTCTGTCTTATGTTACATTTCTGATCCTCTGCTTCGGTCACTGCTGCTATTGGCACTGTTACTATTAAGTCTAACTGCCACAAGAAGCTCTGGTTCTAAAGAACACCTACTGCATGCCTGCTTCTCCTTTGCTAGTGGTAAAACTCTCCCATTTTGTTGTGGATCCACTTGGTCTAATGGCAAGTCTAGCCAATCCACTTGTGGACTGGAGACTAGCCAATCCCCTAATGGACAGAATAACACATCCTATTTACATATTCCCACCCATTCACATGACAAAGCAAGTTAATGTATAGGAAATCCATTTTGGAAAAATAAGCCCATAACACCACAAGCAACCAAATTACATCTTTATTAACTGCCAAACTAATGAAAATCACAGCCCAGTCAAGCTGACATAGAACCTTAACCATCATAGCTGGCTTTATTCTTACTTACATCTTTCCATTTGTTATTGTTATATGTACATTATTAATATGAAAAATAGTTGGATAGATCTTTCACTATTGTCATAAATGTAAGATATAGGCTATGAACATAGAAAGTGAGGAGAGACTATATAAACATATGAAACAATGTAGCCTATAGAAAATATTTTCATGTATGGAGGAAATTAATTTTGTCTTTCTCTAATTGTTTTAGAATGTCAAGGCCAGAATCTGAAGGAAATAAGGGAGTCGCTAAAGGTTAAGTACAGTTTGTGATAATTACTGAATTGGTAGAAGGAAACCAGTGAATATCTAATTACTTGTTGTGGTAGTGACAGTGTACATCAAATTGAAATTGACTCATAGCTGACACTCCAGTGGGTTTTGGTGGTGGTTGTTGTTAAGTGCCATTGAGTCTCTTGCAACTCATAGTGACCCTATGTACAACAGCCCTAAACTCTTCTCTGACCTGTGCCAATCTGTCTTCAACACACCCATCCTGATTACCCCAGTCACTGAATCAATCCACCTTCTAGAGGGCCTTCCCCTCCTGCACCTGCCCTCCACCCTCCCAAGCATGATGTCCTTCTCCAAGGACCAGTCTCTCCTTACAACATGACCAAAGTATGTCAGACGAAGCCTCAGAATCTTTGCCTCCAAGGAGCAGCCCAGTTTAACCCTCTCCAGGATGAATCTGTTTGTTTTCTTAGCAGTCCATGATACCCTCAACACTCTTCTCCAACACCAAAGCTCAAAGGCATCAGTTTTCCTTCTATCCTCCTTGGTCATTGTCCAACTCTCTGATGCATAACAAGTGATTGCAAAGACGACAGCCTGTATCAGATGCTTCTTAGTCTCCAGAGAGACACTACTGCTCTTCAGTACTTTAGAGAGGTCCCTAACAACAGACTTTCCCATCATAATATGTCTTTTAATTTCCTGGCTACTGGTGCCAAGAGTGTTGACTGTGGAGCCAAGGAGACTAAAGCTGTGAAAAATCTCAATCTTTTCACCATCCAGTGGGTTGTTAGAGGCAGTAAATTGCATGGGAGACTTTCCATCTTTCTCCCCAGGAGCAACTGGTGTATTATACCATGTGCCTTTGGGTTGGCAGTGCAGTTCCTTCTGCTGCTGTTGTTGTTGTTATGTGCCGTCGAGTCGTTTGCGACTCATAGCGACCCTATGTACAACAGCCCTAAACCCTGCTCTATCCTGTGCCAATCGCACTGCCTTTGACACACCCATCCCAATTATCCCAGTCACTGAATCAATCTACCTCCTCATAGAGGGTCTTCCCTTCCTGCACTGTGCCCCCACTCTCTCCAGCATGATGTCCCTCTCTAAAGACCTGTCTCTCCTTACAACATGTTCAAAGTATGTCAGACGAAGTCCCAGAATTCCTTCTGCTAGACCACCAAAATGTCTTCTATTTAGAGGTGTGGATTTTTAAATATTGGTAGTTTTAGAAGAAAACCATAAATTAAAATGGTGCTTTCCATTTATAAAGGATATATTGCTGAATTTTTTTTCTGAATTTTTAACAGATAAATATGAATTTAATTTTGTTCTAAAAAGAAAAGTACCTCATCTTGACAGGCACTCTTTGAGAAGTGAGACAGTTGTTGCTGTTATGTGCCATCGAGTTGCTTGCGACTCATAGCGACCCTATGTACTAGAGCCCTAAACGCCAATCTATCCTGTGCCAACCTTGCTGTCTCCAACACACTCATTCCCAGCACTCCACTCACAGAATCAATCCATATCATTGAAGGTCTTCCTGTTCTGCACTGCCCCTTCACTCTCCCAAACATGATGTCCCTCTCCAAGGACCAGTCCCTCCTTGCAATATGCCCAAAGTACGTCAGATGAAGCTTCAGAATCCTTGACTCCAGGGAACATTCTGGCTTCACCCTCTCCAGGACAAACCTGTTTGTTCTCCTAGCAGTCCATGACAGTAGAACATCATATTGGTTTCTCAGAGTGAAAAACAAAGCTGTTTTAGCATAGGAACTACAGGTTGGTTGTACCAATTCAGCCACAAGAGAAGCCCTGGATTGATCCAACAAAATTATATTGATCTCAGATTTTTGGTTGTTCACAGATTTACTATCATGGAGTCAATTAACATTCAACTAAAGAAAACAGAGAAATGGAACAGCTATATGCAGATGCCTTATGAGTTACTGGCAATACAAGAGAACAATAGTTTTGTATCTCCACTAGCTTCCAAGCTCAAATCTACATTTGCCCAAACCTACAATTTAGATCAGGGGGAAAATACAGCCTTGATTCATAATATCCCAATTAAAGCATGTCCTACTCTTTAGAGCTCTACTGATAAACAAAAGTGGTTTAAATACACCTTCTACTCAGCAGGGGGAGGGAAAGGCAGACAGTTTCCTCCAGTGTGATTTACAGCCTTGGAAAGCTCCTGGAATGTCAATTATGAGTAGGACTCAACTTTACGGAAATGAAGAGAAATATGTTTGACAGTTTCTAGCTCCAAAACAAGCACACCAGCATGACAATAGAGCAATGACTATGAATTATGTCTACAAGGCTCAAACAAATGTCTGTCTTGTTATATCTACAATTTCCCTCTTATGCTAAGAATGACACAATCATCAATTTGAGTTCCTCAGAGTCACTCTAGACTTTCCTGGGGCTTGTAGGATTATTTTGATGTTAATGTAACTCCAAAGATGCTTTAACTGCTACTACTAGAGCAATGGTGAGTGTAGGTTAGAAATTAGAAAGTACTGACACTCCATAAATAGTTTGTATCTGGCCCCCCCCACACCGATTTCTTCCCATTCCAAAACTCTTAAAATTCATTGCCATCAAGGTGAAATCAACTCATGGCTGACCTTCCAGCATATTTTCAGATGCTATAAGTCACATGGGAGAAGATTGCCCAGCTTTCCCTCAAGGAGTTGCTAATCCTAATCAAGTCACACTGCCTTAGGGTTACCAGTGAAGCTTCCTATGGTCTAAATCACTGGAGAGCTCTATGTTCTTGGGTAATAAAATTGTGAAAGTGATTATTTATGTTATTCAAATTTGTCTTAGTCTATCTTGAAGACAAATTTGAATAATTGAATATGTTTTATGTAGATACTTGAATTTTTTATAAAGATTCTTAAACCACATCTTGTGTTGATGCTATGAACCTTCCCAAATATCATTACTTTTAAAATACAATCTTGAACTTTTGAGTATAACCGACTTGTTTTAATGTGCTAGTCTAGTCTCTTATTTTGTCTATCAGGGCCATAACATTTTCTTTTATCTCTCAATCATTCCATCCTTGAATATGAACTTTCTAAAATATGATTTCTACTCAAATTGCATTTGTTTCTTAGAATGAAAGAACATTATCCAGTGTGTAACAGAATAGCTCTTTGGATATGAGTAGGTGGTAAGAGAGAAAAAGCCAAATATATTCTTTTATAAATTTTGAATGCATCTGTTTAAGATTTTATATATCCTGTACTGATAAAATAGCAAAAGCTGAAATGTGTACCTTAGTTACAGTATTGTCTTATTTAGTGTCATCTTTTTTATTTTTCTATATCAGAGATTTCACACCAAACTCCACTGTTTATAAGAAGAAATAAGATGAAAATACCCATTACAGAATACTTCAGCAAGCCAAAGTCTCCTTCAAGGCCTAAAACTCAGGAAAGACTATCACGAAAACCAATGTGAGCAACGAGTACACAGCACGGAGGTGATCTCAGACCTCAAGGAGTGTGTTGCTATCCTTTAATACACTAAACATAGAGATTCTGGGTGGGATCAGATATTTCATTTTAGCTATGTTTACTTGTAACATCTAGTTATTAAAAATTTATATTTGGTATATATTAAAAAATCAATATTGTTATTGTTGTTGGATACTGTATCTAACAGTCATCTTTGACTCACAGCGGCCCCATGCACAACATAATGAAATCCTGCATTATCATGCCCCATCTTTACCATCTCGGCTGTGTTTAACCCATTGTTGTGTCAACCCATCATTGAGGGCCTTCCTCTATGGTACCTTTCTCCATGGATTATCTTTTTTCCTGATTACATGTCTGAAGTGTGTGAGATGAAGTCTTCCTCTATTTGCTTCTAATGATACTGTATAGAACTTGGTGGCATGGTCTGAGTTGTGCTGCTAAACCAAAGGCTCTGCTTCTCTTTTTTTTTTTATTTTATTAATTTTCATAAACATTTACAGAGATTTTGGGTTTCCATTCATTCACCACTGCACCATTCTCTCTACCCTCCTCCCAGTTTGTTCTTGTCCAAATGCCACAGTGCTTGTCAAAGCCAGTTCTGATTAATCTTCTTTGTCAGTGTGTCCTTTGCCATTCCGTATCACTCCTCCCTGAGAGAGACTTCACCCTGAGTCATAAGGAAAAGGGGATGGCGTATTCTCTTAGCTACTTCCTGCTGAAAACGGACGCTGTGGGTTTCAGGGTGAAGGTCTTCTCTCACTACTCTAAAGGGCCCCTTTGGCAGTAGGAAACACATAGACTATTATGGAGATTGATTTTGGAATTTAGATGCACTCTTATTGATTGTACTTGGCCATACATGTTCATATCCTTGAAGATGTGTCATGGGGGTGTTGCAACCTAGAAGACACAAATTTGACTAACAAGTTATAAGTACATGAGTCAAAAATTATGGAAAAGTAAAAGAAAAGATTCTTTCATTGTTCCACAAACCCGCCCCCAGGTCCCCTCCACCATGCAGCCCTCGCTCTAGACTCCTGTGACGACAGAAACATCCAGTTATATATCTCTTTTAAACAGTTCCCTCCCTCCTCCGCCTCAGTGTAGCACACATCATTGAACCCATCTTACTCAGTCTCTCCCCAACCCCAAGGACAGTCCCATTCTACAACAGTGGCATCATGTAATATTTGTCCCTTTGTGACTGGGATATTTCACTCAGCATAATGCTCTCCAGAGTCAACCATTTTGAATAATATTGCATGAGTTCCTTGTTTTTTAATGCAGCATAGTATTCCATTGTGCGAATATACCACAGCTTCTCTAGCCATTCGTTTGTTGATGGGCACTTAGGTTGTTTCCAACTCCTTGCTATTGTGAACAAAGCTGCAATAAACATGGGTGTGCATATATCTGCTTGGATGTCAGCTATGGTCTCTTCACGGTATATTCCCAGTAGTGGAATTGCTGGGTCAAATGGTATCTCTATTTGCAACTTTTTGAGAAAGCGCCATACTGCTTTCCACAGGGATTGCACCATTTTACACTCCCACCAACAGTGAATCAGGGTTCCAGTTTCTCCACAACCTCGCCAGCATTTGTTGCTTGCTGTTCTGTTAAATTTTGCTATTTTGAGTGGGGTGAAATGATATCTCATAGTTGTTTTGATTTGCATCTCTCTTAGGGCTAGGGATTTTGAGCATTTCTTCATGTGCTTGTTAGACATCTGAATGTCGTCCTCGGTGAACAAAGGCTCTGCTTCTCTTGTGGTTAGAACACACGAGCAAATCAGAGGGAGAAGGAGGGGCACTACTCTTCCATGCAACTGATAGCTTTGGAAACTCAGTGGAAGGTCTGTTATGGATTGATTGCTACTTGACAATAGGGAGTGTTTGGTTGGTGTTGAAGGAGCACTCTGGTGCAACTCAAGGTTTAAATCTTTTCTGCATGTCTTTCATCTTGAACAATAGAGTATTCTTCACTTTTGGCTCTTTAGCTCCAGTCTTCGTACATTTCATTATCAGTTACTTTGTTTTCTGTAGCTGCTCTTTGAAATTCTCTACTCTGTTAGCTCATCATTTCTTATAATTACATTAGTGTCACCTTCTGTATATTTAATATATACATATATATAAAATTTATAACATATATATAAAAAATATAGCACTTTCAGAGCCTCTTCTAGCATGCATTTTAGTCTTTTCTCCCTCTCTTGCCTTTTCAACTAAAAAGTTTTTGTTTGTGTACTATCATACTGTAACTTATCTAGGTTTCAGGCACTATTGTTTAGTCAGTCAAAATTGTGGACATTGTTTAGAAATTTGAGTGAGATATTTTGGCCCTCTTGCACTAATTTTCATTTTCTTGAACTTAAATATAATCATGTAAAAAGTGCAGATAGTGAAGGAGGTGACCATGTTTTATCTCCACTAAGTCCACATGGGGAAACAGCCTCCATCCACAACACAGAACCTTCTCAGGGTCAGACGTATTTCCACGTTCCCCACACCTATTTCTTTTTATTCTAACACCAACTATTCCCTCCCAGGGCTCTGATTGCTCTACTATGGGTTCCACTAATCCATTGCAATGGTCACCTAGAGCTAACGAACCATACTCACAATTATGAGATTATTAAGAAAGTTAACAGGTTACAATTCAGGTTGAAAGCAGGATCCAATTCTTTGCTTATGATAGTGTCTCAAATGTGATCACTGGTCCTGTGATCTTGTTTAGAAGCTTCAGGCTAGTGTTACAAAGTTGTCTTAATCTTGTCATTTGTGTCTCCCCCATAACCCCAAACCCTTGAGCAAGCTTGGCAAAGCTCCTTGACTCTGGCTTCACAGGGCAGCAATCCCAGGTCAGCTCTTATCTCATGCTGGTCTTTGGTTCTCCTCTGCTTCTACTGCTGCTGCTCTTAACTAGGTCTTAGTCCATTTGGTGCAGGAATCTCTGGTCCTGAAGGACTACATTTTGTTTCTTCTTTGTTGCTAGGAGTGAGATTTCAGTTTCCCTGCCACTAAACCTGGTGAAGTGGCAAAACTAACCAATCAGTAGTATACATACCCTCTACTCAGTCAAATGGCAAAACGTCAATGGCAATGATCTAAGAAACCCATTTTGGACTATAAGCCCATTATACTGCAGGTCAACTTATTATCTCTTCCATATTTGGCCTCTGGTCTTGTTACAACTGATGATAATGAACATATTACCATCTTTCCACAAATGTAGCTGATTTGATTCCTGTGTATTCCAACAGGCAAGGTCCGTATCTATAGTTGTCATTTATTTTCTTAAAAAATGTATTTGCAAATAGTAAGTCATTGGCCATAGAAAATTCTATTATGCAATCTTTGACCTCATTTCTGTCACCAAGGCCTTATATTCCAATTATCAACTCTTCACTAATTTTTCTAAATTTTGCATTCTAATTACCAGTTATTATTAAAGTACCTTGTTTGCATGTTTATTCCTTTTCAGACTGCAAAGTAGGAAAAAATATACAGATTTCTTCATCTTTGGCTTTGAATATTTATGAATATGTACATTTCTGAATAATAGGCATGTTAACAAGTCTACCTATGAATATTATCCTATCAGTGACAGCATTTTACATCAGATAAATCTTAAAATGTTCTTTTTTGACAATGAATGCAACACCAAGCCTTTTTAGTTTGTTATTCCCAGCCTACTAGACTATAATTATCTCATCCAAAGTGATCAATAGCAGTCTATGAGTTCCAATTCATATTTGACAACTTGCAGTTTTCCTAGATATTTCTCTTTGCTTTAACATGACTCAGTGGGTGAAAGTTTTACTCCATCTATGTCATTCAGGTAGACTCTTCTTCATGGAGACTCTTCTTCTTCCCTGTTGTTTTTAATACCTTCCAACATGGAGGCCTCCTTTCCTGGCACTGTATCATATTATGCCCAGTGTTATTCATAAGGCTTTCAAGGTATTTCAGTAATGGATTGTCAGTTCTGCTTCTTGGTCTTAATCCAGAAGCTTGCAGCACCACAATAGCATGTAAGACACCATAGTACAACAAACTGACAGAATCCATCAGTTGTCTTTTTGTGTCAAATGTAAATGTGTAATTCTCAAAGCACTATTTACTGATGTTGTTGTTAAGTGCTGTGGTGTTAAAGTTTTATTGCCCAAATGACTTCTCTAAAAAGAAATGGCTTCCCTTGCCATTGACTTACTTTGCCACAATGTTTGGCAGAATATACGAATAGAGTGTGTTAGTCTATCCACAATGGCTAGTCTAGCCATAAAATTAAGTGGAACCAGCAGAATTGGAGAAACTTCACTACCAACAATGAAAAGACAAGAGAATGTAACACATCCTTCAGAACCAGATTCTTGTCCCAGCCAGTTGAGGACAGCAGAGAAACAGAGACAAACATGAGATGGAAATGACCTTGGGACCATTACACCCCACAAAACCAGAGCTAAGAGCCAGTGCCTGAGTTTGTTGGACAACTAGGGGAGGGTGCAAAATTAGAAGGACTGACAGCTTTGTGACATAGGCACAAAGCCACATGGCTCAAGGCTGAGGTGCCTGCAACCACATGTAGGAAGCTGCCTGACTGTATTTGCTACTAATCTGAATTATAGCCTTTTGATTCCCTACTATGGTTCTGTGTGATCTGTGAGCTATTTTATTACATTTTGGACCCAATAAAGCCATAAGATTGATGTTGGCATGAGTAGAAAGAAGTGTAGGAGCTTGGTGGGGGCATGACCTCATGGTAATTGGGGTTTTTTTTATGACAGGCACAATTCCCTTTATGAATTTGGTAAAGGTCAGATATGGCCATCCTCATGTGATCCTTGTTCTTTTTACAAGTGCCCTCACATCTATATGACTCATAACAACTCAAAGAACAAGAGATTTGAGCCCTGCTCTATCATGTGCTATCCTTACCATCTCTGACATACTTGAGGCATTCAGATTAAACTGTGTCAGC